TATTAACCCGGTTCGTCCTTCACGTATGGATTCAGCAAAACCCATTCTATAAAATAAAAGCTTAATTTTCAAAGATATGAGCCGAAATGCAATTTGGCAGTACCGAAAAACCAAATTTCTCTGGAAAAACGTATGGATTCAGCAATTATATAAAATCCACGCCTATTTTTCAAAGATTGGAGCCGAAATTCAACTTGGCAGAACAGGAACCTCAAATTTCTATGAAAATACGTACTTTTGAGAATTTAAATCCAGTTTTCTAAAAAAAATGTGCATGCTTAAAAAAAGGTACCATCACGTATAGATTCAGCAAGGTCATAACATCTAAGTCTATTTCTCAAAGGATGGGGCCAAAATCTTAACAGGAAACCCGATCTTCCATCAATATATTTTTGTGAATTTATACTCGGTTTTCACAAAAAAAAAAACAAACAAACATGCAACCCTCACTGACGTATGGATAAAATCCAAGTCTATTTTTCAAAGATCGGAGCCGAAATTCAACTTGGCAGAACAGAAAATCAATGTTTCTATGAAAATACGTACTTTTGTGAATTTTAACTAGGTTTTCTCAAAAATTTAGAAATTCAACCCTCACGTATGGATTCAGCAGGATCTATTCTATAAAATACAAGCATATTTTTCAAGATAGGAGCCAAAATTCAATTCGGCAAACAGAAAAATCAAATTTCTATGAAAATACTTACTTTTTGTGAATATTAGCCAGGTTCGTCCTTCACGTATGGATTCAGCGAGTTCCATTCTAGAAAATCTGAGCACACATTTCAAACGATTGAACCATATTGAACCGAAATCCAAGCTGGCTTAAAAAAATCATATGAATTCATAAAGGTCTATTCTTTAAAATCCATGCCTGTTTTTCAAAGGACGGAGCCAAAATCCAACTTGGCTGATCAATAAACCCAAATTTCTATAAATAATACGTACTTTTGTTAATGTAAACCCAGTTTTCTTAAGTGGTTACGCCTACCTGCAAGACCAAAAAAAAGCGAAAGTTTGGATTTTTTTTCTCGAAAACGACGCAACATATTGAAAATCGGTTTTCTGCCGTTTATTGAACACACATTAAATGGTACATTTATCAGTCGATGCTGTAAAAACGAGGTCCTGGTGCCCCGCACGGCTGCTCCCCGTGGACGATGTTCTAAAAAACGCTTTTTGCGGTGCCAACTGCGGTTTGTGATGTAATCATCTGAAATAAAAAAAACCATGCCAAATCGTTAACCCTGTGTTTAACTAGTCCTTGATCTTTCGGTTTTTTTTTTAATTTTTTTGACAAAATGGCGGCCTTGCAAAGTTGAATTGCCGATTTTTGATCCTTAAAATTTGTCTTTGATCGGCTGTAAAAAATCGATAGACGAAATCCGAACGATCGTGGACTGCACAAAATAGTACTGAACAGAAATCAAAACGAATCGAATGTATACATTTCGAGAAATTTTTGGCACCGGTTTTGAAAATATGATTCCGAGATAATTGCGTTTAAAGTTTCAAGTTGGGCTTAGTCCACTATAAGTGAATATTTTTGTACGTCGCGAAACTTTCACAATTTTCATCGGATCAACTTGATCTTTTGAGGAAATATTCTTGACTTTATATACTTTCGATTAGGACAATAAAAATAAATCGATTTTTTGAAAGTTTGCAGGTAGGCGTAACCCCTTAACAATTGTGCTTGCTTTAAAAAAAATCGACCATCAGGTGCAGTCTTTAAAATCTCAGGCTAAATTTCAAATGATGTTAATCTCTCAAGAACGAGGAAGGGGTCTAGGGGAGCGGTATCTACGTTCAAAGTTAGTTAAATCACTTCAGGAAAGCTCAGACTAAGATTAAATATTATTCAATCACTCAACAGAAAAGTTTGGACCAAGGTGGAACCAACCGGTGGAAACTAAAGATTTAAAATTGGCTCACTACTTGACTAGCCTATTGCTCCCAAGCTAATCGATTAACGTACCCCATTCTAGGCGAAATTCTAGTACTACAATATATTTGTTTTGATTTGCTATGAAAGTTTGACAGATAAAATGAGGGGTTCGTGGATTTTCATATGTTTCGAGGGGTGCATTGATTAGCTTGGGACTGAAGATAGTGACAGAGCTGAACGAAAAAGTTGAGCACGATTCTTCGGTACCTTCTAGTCTTAGAGTTACCTCTATGGTGTTGTACAGCAATCTTCAATAAAAGGCGTATATTTCTCGATAAGGGCCTGACAGAACCCTTTGATATTGGGAAATGCAGGTCCCAACACCCAACCCAACACGGATAAAAAAGGTTTATTTATTTTTCCCGGATCTCCCATTGAATACCCGGTGTTTTAGGCGAGGTTTTAGGATACTTTTCAAATTTCCTGTTATTTCCCGGTTTGCTGGCCACCCTGTATGATAGGAAACTATTTTTCTGGACTAAAAACTATGTGTTAAGCATAAAAAACAATAAAAATTAGTTGTGAAAAAAAAGTTCAAAATGTGCACAAATAGTAGATATTCTACGATTTTGGTCAATTTGTCAAGTGTCCATTCCAGAAAACTTAGCATTTTTGATAAGTTTTTAAATAAACAGAAGTTTTTTACAGTTATTTTTTGTTTGTCGAAATTTGGTGATGTTTTTTATTCAGTTTACTTTTTTTTCTGAAAAGGCAATCCAGTTTCCTTCAATTTCGTCACAGTTGTCATTTCGATTAGATGAGTCGTTTTCGTGCTTTGATTTGATCGAAAATATCGAATACTTCATATTGAAGATTAGCCGTGAGTCAAACTGGTCGAATTCCGACACAAACTTGGTTCATAGTAGTAATCTATACAGGTGAACTTCGATATAACATACCCTCGATATAGCGTCACTCGATATAAGATACATTTTACCTCGATATAAGATACACCTTTCAAAATATTTTTTTTATTTCTCATTATCATCAGAATTAGTGTTTCAAGATTCAAGAACAATAGATTATAAGTCCAAATTGACCGTCCAGAGACCTCGCATTGGGGGGGGGGGCAGCATCCCAGGTGCAGGTATTGAAAGTCTGCAGGGGCTGTGCACTAATTGTGTAAGACATTTTAGTGATTTTCCAGCTCCAACTAATTTAAAATTAATGCACACCCATAATCAAAACTATGAGCAGAGCCGCTGTGATATTCATGTCAGCGATATTTAGTTTGACACTGGCAAACTGATTTTCACTTCAAGAGACTCATAAAATTCAGCATTTTGATGGAATTGAATTGATATTAACGTCTTCAAACACTGGTTTATAGAGGATGGAATGAGGTATTTAGCTTTCCACACATGGTTCTTTATTGGTTTTTGACAGCTGCTGGATGTAACACGCTGGTGAAATGTGGTCCTTTTCCATATGTTCTACTGAGAGGCGAAGAGGGGAGAAAAGCTTTTTAACCAGCAGCTGTCAAACATTGTAATGAGCATACGGTACATCCATCCTATAAATGTCATTCTCATGTTGACTACATTTCTCATCGTGACATAGGAAAGGTGGGAGCATATAGGAAAGCAAGAGTGTTCGTATTTTGATGTCCCTCAATTGAGTTTTTAAATCAAACACATTATCTGTTCATTTAAATAACATGTGTATGAGCTTTTACTCACGAGAAATTAGCAGTTGAAGTTGACACTGATTTTAAAACATAGTCAGATCAGCGTATAATATTCCCACCTCTACTAAATTTTATATACACCTTGTATGAAAGCTTCTGTCAAACACTGTTATTGATCTACACTGAACGAAAATATCCGCAATACTTCGGATGATTATTGCATTGGTCGAGCCCTTTAGCAATATGCTTTCGAATTTTGGATGATTGCCTTATGGTTGAATTCGTCATCAGCTGACGAGCATCCATATGACTGTCCTCTAAATAAAGGATGATACTTATTTGAAAATTGGCTGTACAACATACAGTGCTTAGAGGATATCAGTTTAATAATAGGATGGCTTGCAAATGCTTAAAATTGGATTGATAGTTCGATTGTTTATATTTTCATATTGAATAGCCAGGAACAGCCATTCCATCATGGATACAAAAATCTTTTGTTGGTAGACGAAACTTCTTCCACCACGAAATAGACAATCTTCGGTTCCTACGCTTTATCAATGCTCGGACCACCTCTGATAGCGATGAATATGTTTTCAGCTCGTTTCTCAGCTCAGATCAGCAAAAGACGTTCGATAGAATGATTTACATCATCGTTTTGGAGGATTTTCGTTATGTATCAATATGTACAATATGCATTTCAATTTGGGATGATAATCATTCTACAGAGAGCATTACGTATTTCAACTGAGGTCCGTTCGCTTCTCGTATCAATGTTCATCCTGTATTCGAGAGGAGCATCATCTGAGTACAAAACAATCGTCGTCCGGTTGCAGCTATCATTTGAAAAAGCAATTTCGATGTTTCGATTCGAATGGTCTGAGGTTTCATTCGAACAGAGCATGATGTTTTGGTACAGTGTAAGAGAAGAGGAGACAATAAGGGGGCGAAAACGAACCACTTTTCTGTCAAACGCGAACCAGCTCGTGATTGGTCGATTTGAAGTGCGTAAGATAGAGATAGAGATAGAGATAGAAATAAAAGAGTAAGAAGGCAATTGTCTCCTCTTCCTCTTAGTTATTGATATAGGACCAGTGGTTTAGACACATTCATTCAAAGTTTAAATCAAATCGAAACAAATTCACAAAAATGGCTCCGAAAATTCCTAAAGAATTAACTTGCAACAAAACAAGGAAACGTTCCGTTGTTGTTTTAACCGACAAAGTAAAAATAATTCAGGATGCAGAACAAGGGATGTCCATAAAATCAATAATGCATAAATACAACATAAAATCGCGAGCGACAGTTAGTGGCATCATTCGTGCGAAGCAGAAAATAATGTCGAACATTGCGGAAGTTCAAGGAAATATTGGTAAGTGCATTCATGTCAAACTCTAAACAATTTCTCATGTGTCAATCGGTTCACAGCTAACCGAAAGCGCTTCAAGAAGCCTCGATATCCAGCGGTAGACGAGGCGTTATACGTTTGGTTCCTGCAAAAACGGCAGCTAAACGTTCCTGTAAGCCACGAAATGCTTCAAGTACAGGCTCAGAAGTTCTATTCACAGATGATTGGGGAAGGTGAATATGGTAGCCGTGGGTATGTTGACAAATTTATCAAAAGGCATGATATTCGCCTTCTTAAGATAACTGAGGAAAAACTGTCCAGCAACCCTGCGGTTATCGACCAATATGTTGTAGATTTCTCGCAAGAAATGCGTTATCATAACTTGCAACCATATCAAATTTTCAACGCTGATGAAAGTGGCTTATATTTCAAAGCAATCTCATCGACAACATACGTCGACCGGAATTCTGCCAGTGCTCCTGATAGAAAAGTCAATAAAAAGCGCATAACTTTTATGCCCTGTTCAAATATGGACGGTTCTTTGAAGCTTCCACTCATGTTAATTGGAAAATACAAAAATCCTCAACCACTGAAGAACCTAAAGGATCTTCCTGTCTACTACAGAGCATCCAAAAATGCGTGGATGACGAGGGAGTTGTTCAAAAATTGGTTTTTTGAGCAATTCGTCCCGCTAGTTACTGATTTTTTAAAAGGACTAAGCCATCCTGTGAAAGCTGTTCTCGTATTGGATAACTGTTCGGCTCATTATAGTACAGAGGAATTGCGAACAGATGACGGAGCCATATTTTGCAAATTTTTGCCACCCAATACCACCGCTGTAATCCAACCGATGGATCAGCATGTTATTCAGATGGTGAAGGCTCGTTACAAGAAGATCATGACAAACGAGATTCTTGGAAGAGGTGATGATTTTCACGATAACGTCAAACGCATCAACATCAAAGATGCCATGTATTGGATTGCCCAAGCATGGGAAGCTGTTCCGGAATCTGCCATTCAGAAGTCCTGGAAAATATTGCATACGGAAACACCGGGTGATGATGAGGACGACTTGCCATTGTCCGTATTGCAAGAAAGGCTGAGGAACATAATGAATAATATTAATTAGCTGGAAACAATTGACGAGGAAAACGCAGAGTTCGAGATCCTGAAGGACGATGAAATCGTTGAGAAAATACTCAACCCATCAGTTGATGACTTCTCTTACACAACGAACCAAGATCACGAGGATAGCCAACATCTTTCTACATCGGTTGATCCTGAAGATGAAAATGTTAACGTTTCTGATGAAGCTGCTTTGAATGGAGCTGACGTTCTGCTTAGGTATGCGGAAGAGCAAGGTTGGTCGCTTAACATCCAGTTTTCTTTGCGTAAAATGAGACAAGACATCTTGAACAACATAGTAACTAGAAAGACTTGATAAATCTCAAGAGTGAATATCTTATTTGATGCATTGGTTGTTATGTAAACATGAATGGTTATTTAATTTCCTGAACTGATTTTTTTTAACTCGAAAAACTACACGATATGATAAATTCCATTGAATTCTTAACAAGTTGAATGTTACTAAATATATATTTTCGAAGAAAAATAGAATGCTAATCATAGATTATTATCAATAACCTTAATCAATAAATTTGAATAGGACCATGCATTTGTTATTTAAAACGTTTATTCCACTGGTAAATTCCATCTAAGAATATGTTTACATCTAAGAAAAATGTGTGCATCTTGTATGATTCATAGTTATGTTTAAATTTTTTTCTCCTTACTCCTCCAACAATTGCTAAAGAAGCGTCTTTTGATTTTTATTGTTTTTTTCACTTTACCCCTAATCACCGCTTACATAATATTTCATTCATATCTCAATTTCGCGTTGCTATCAACGGTAATTACCGATGCATTAATTAAATCACGCATTATTAGTAATAATTGTATTGTGAACTGAAAAAATGAAGCTGTTGTTCCTACAGGAGACTGTACTGCAGCTTATCTCCGAAGGGGGGGTTTCCTTTTGTGCAAGAAAAATATGAATTTTTTTTAAGAAAGGCTGTTTTGCACTTCTAGGTGAACAATATTACCAAAATATGCTATATTTTCTTATAATTTATCAAAATAATGCAAAATGAAATGTGTTTCTTAATTTAAAAATCATGCTTCTATATAAGATACAATTCGATATAACATACATTCGTGAAATCAAAATGTATGTTATATCGAAGTTTACCTATAGGATTACTAGTTCATAGTAGAGTCGGTGTATAATGAGTCACGCCAAGAGTGAAGCCAAGTCTACCTATTGAACTTTCAAACCGGCTACCTATCGTGCAAAGTAAACAAGCATTACGATGCTATGAGAGGTCAACGAAAGGTATTGCAATAAAATATAATCGAAGAAATGATCACAATCACGCAGTGAGCTTTAAATTGTCATGGGATACGTTTGGTAATGATCAGTCATGAGAATTTCTACTATTTTTTGATAAGGTAATTTGACAAAATCACTGATATAATTATTTACCTACTACAGTCGCTTTTTTTTTCGCTAGAAGTCATTTGAAGTTGATGTAGTTGCCAAGTGAAAAGAAAGGGAATCTTTCGAAAACCGTGAGGCGAGTTCAACTTTTGACGTAGGACTACGTCTTTCGGGAAGATGGGGGTACAACTTTGAACGTTAATAACTTAGCTGCCCCTGGACCAATTTCAATTATTTTATCAGCAATCGATCAGAAACATTTTTACGCATCGATAACAATGCTCTTGACTGTTGATTTTCAAATTGAAACTATTGAAAAAGTGGTAAATGTCAAGCATTGTCCAAAAGCTCCTAAATAACTAACAAATCCACCAATTACGTACATGCATGTGCTGCTTCCCCAACACAGTCATCAGATAATGGTTCCTAGATGAAACAAGTCGAAGTGACATTCGCCTCCGATCTTCGGGTGTGTACGAATAGGGAGGATACAATTGCGGAACATTTTGTTGCCTATTCCGAACCACACGTCCCCAACGACCACACAAAATGCTGTTTTTTTCCTTGGATTTGTTTTCCATGCACCTATGCTACCCACACCTATGCTTGGCATACACAGTTTTGGTCACGAACTGCTCATTTGCTAATAACTTTGCACACAGTTAACGGAATATAGTTCTTTTTGAAGCAGTAGATATAATAGACTGTAAGCTTGTTATAGGTATGTAAAATAAAGTAGATTTTAATGCTAGTAGTAAACTTTATTTGTTTTTGCGTTGTAAAAATGAGGTGACAAATGCTCACTACACATCTCGGAATTTAAGTGTTAAATTGATTAGTGTTGATTCAAATGTTAAGCTTTACCTAATCTTCGCATATCTATAGCCTAATCTATCAATTACTTAACTAAAATTTCAACATCTGAGTGAAAAGTTATTACCAAATGAGCAGTTGGTTTGTACAAATATGCATGTCCACACCTGGACCCTACCTATCGACCCATCAACTCATGAACCGGGAACCCCGAAGGAAGGCGTGATCAGAGATGTTATGCCTCAGAACTTCCCGGCAGCGTTGACTGGGATTGAACCCAGGCCTGCTGGGACGCTTACCACTACAACACGGGCGCCGCTGCTCTCTAGAGTTGTAATCTTGGGTCTGGCTCGACGTGGTTGTGTCAAGCGTTTCTGGTCTGATCTTCCTAGAAAATATGCGTGATGCCGTCACCTGCACTGAACACGCTAAGCGCAAAACCGTCACGGCCATGGATTTCGTCTACGCTCTGAAGCGACAGGGATGCACTCACGGTTTCGGAGGTTACAACTTTCACCAACGTAACAAAACGGCCCTTTTCAGGGCCACCAAGTTCATTTCAGTAAAAAGTTAGAATATAATTTATATAGAGTAACCCATGATTCACCCATTCAATTTGTCACTAAATACATCATGATTCAAAAATCAAATAATTTCTTAGGGAAATAAATTATGTTCTATCTTATCGGTGGGTTAAATTTTTTCCGTTTCACTTCCATTAACTGAGAAACCCTCATCGTATGCATTCTCCTGCTGCGTGACATCTTCTAAAACGTCCGAACCGTAAAAAAAAATTCGTAGTCCTACTTCAACAATGCGGTTGTCTTGTACACCACCCTCCACCTTTTATTTTCTCTTGGCTCGACTCATTATACACCGGCTCTAGTTCATAGCAGTGAGCAATTATGCGAAGATTTCGATTCGTCAGTTGGCGTGGAGCTGCTCATCAGATACTAAACGCAGGTCTCAACACTTATGTTTTCTTTCAAATATTTACAACGACTTTATTTGTATCATTATTGTAGTTTATTTTAGTATAATTATCCTGCAATATATTATTGTTGATATTGTTTCAGTTAATAGCTAAAATATTTAATCGTTAGTTGAAAAAAGACAGCTGAATACAATAAAAGCTAATCAACAATTTTGCAAACATATCAAAGCATTTCTCTTTTACTTTTAAAATGGCAAATAACTATTGTTGTACGTGTCTGTTTTGGCATAAAGCTCAAGATAAATATAAACGTCAAATGAAACAAGACGTACCTATCCTCAGATCAAAACCGACACAACGAAATGCCTTGCACGTGAGACTTTCCATCAACTCCTATCTCGATAAAGCCCCACTTTTTCAGCCTCAACAAATATAGGAAATGCTTTGCGCAGGCCCCTCGATCGATGCTGGTTGGCCGCCAGGCTGAGTTGCCTTTGGAACACACTAATTCACGTTGAATGGTAAGAAAAAGGTTCATCATCTGACGGAAAGAAACATTCAATATTAGGACCAACGAAGTAAAGTAAATGGAATGTTTCTACTCACCGAAGCCAGTACCTGGAAGGGAAGAAAACAGGGAAAACATTAGTGGACATTAGATTTGCTGCAAACTTTCTCTATCTGGCCCATAAGCCTAACGATTGCCGCATTGGCTCGATTCAGATTGGTGACGATCGCGCGAAGCGATGCCCTCTGCTGTAGCATTTTATCCGTTAAGGGTTGTCGAAATTCCAATTCTTCTACTACCGGGTCGGTCATCGTTCCGACCGAATTGAACCTTCTGGTCGGTTCCTTAGGGGGTAAAAAGCATTCCTCATCAACGGTTTTTCCCATTTGGGTTTCGAAGAAGTCGGACTGCGTATTGAGAAACCCGGTGACGATATCCTGCGTAAATGATTTCTTCAAGAATGTGGCCGTTGGCTGTTGAGTTTCATCGAAACGAAATTCTTTCATATCATCGTCCAGACGAGGAGGTATTTCATCTGAATCGATCACGTGAATGCTGGTGGCTGTTGCTGCTGCTGTAGGCGAACCACGTGATACTTTGGGTGCTCTTGGAGAGGGTGATGGAATCGGATTGGTTTGAGTGCGGAACGGCGATTTGGTAAGATCGTAGTCGATGTCGTCGCTGGAAGTCCTGCAGACATCTTCCGGTCGCTGGGGAGGAGGAAGCTGAGCTATTTCATCTCCGACTTCAACCATCAGTTCATGTTCGTTCACTTCGACGCTATCGTTCAGTGGTGGCCGTTTTCCGAGCGGTGAAGTGCGCAGCAACTCCGGAAGATCCGATGCAATTGATGCTGTTTTGAATTGGAACTTCGCAGCCGTTAAGCGAGGACTGGGCTCAACCGATTCCGAGCAGTTTTTTCCTCCTGAGAGAAAATCGCCAATGAAGGATTTGAAGTGCGATGAAGTTTCCGGCCCACTCGTAGGTACAGTGTTTTTTGCTGGAACCATGGGAGTGTCACTCAAATGGGATAGGTGTTGAGCTACCGTCTCTGGAGGTGCCCGCGCACTAGAGCTAACTGCAGCTTCCAGGAATGGAGTTGTTGCTGCGTTAGAATTTCGATTCATTGACTGTCTAGTAGTACGGTCGGATGGATTACGAAGGCGCGGCATTATGAAATCGAACTTGATAGTCCGCGAGACAGTTATTTTTTCGAAGCAACGGAATACGAGAATACAGCAACAAGAACACTTTTTTTTCTACACGGCGAATGAGAACGACTCAAATTTGAGTTTAAGTTCACTCATAATCGCCAAAAGTGCAGGAACTCAGCGATGAGTAAAATTTGTCTCATGTTTTCCCAGGGGAAAATTCCCG